CGGCCAGTCCGTGGGCCATCTGGCCGTCGACTGGGTTTGCATCGTCACCCGCGGAGCTCCCAGGAAACCTAGATCCGTCGTCGATCGGGCTCCCATCCATGCTAAGCCCGACCTGGGGTTGGCTGCCGCGCCGAGCCGCTGGGGCGGAACCCAGGGAGTCTGATATGGCCGGAGCGCGGCCTGGGGGGAAGCGCGCGGCCCGCAAACTCTTAGGGGATGCCCCCTTGAGCTGGGAGACCCGGCCGAGGAGCCAGGGCCCAGAGACGGCTTGAGGCAAAATGGCTACGGACGCTGGTGGGGTTACGCGAAACGTCTAGAATTCCTTCCTTGGGATTCGCGTAGTGGGCGTCTCGGTATCTTCCATTCTGCAGTGCGCAGCAGCGGGCGGTTAACGAGGCCCCTGGAGATCCCCAGAACTTTGTGGGCCCCGGAAACGGCAAGGCCGTTGTTTTTTTGTTTTTTCTTTTTATCCTTCGAAAATGGAAACGGCAAAACGGGGGAAAAAAAGGGCGACCGGAAACGGCAACAAAACCAGCTCCAAAATTGGAACCGGAGCAAGAACCCGTAAAAGAACGGCGACGGAACTGGTAAGAAACGGCGTCGGAATCGGCAAAAAAAACGGGAAAACGGAACCGGTAAAAAGCGGCCCTGTCGTTTCCAGGGCCCACTGAGCCCCAGACGGCCCCCCGAAGCCCCCTGAAACCTCCAGCGGCCCCAAAACGCACCACATCGTACAAACGCCTCCAAGGGGGAGATTGGCGGGCCGCCTTGCCGACCGAAGCGGGCGCACTCCAGGCCGCAAGGGCCGGGTCGGACGCCCAGGTCGCTCCTGGGCTGGAACTGCACGGCGAAGCTTCAAAACTTGTACGGGGGGGTCCATCGCTGCTGAAGGAGGGGGAGGATCTTAGTTACAGTGCGGGAGCGGCCGCAAGAAACCCGCGCAAGAAACCCAACCCTGAGAACCCGTGCGCGAGGTGCACCTGAGGGCAAACCTGGAGCACCCTGAGCATAGCAGCTTCTTCAACGGCTGCGGGAAGTCACCGCGCAGCGCGAGGAGCGAAGAAACCCAGGACACCTTGACGAAAAGCATATGGTTCCTTGATGCGCGCCCCCAATGTATGAGTGTTGTGTGCTTCGGGCCTTTCATGTGCTCCTCTGTGGGAGCGTCCTCGTCGCCACCTGTGGGCAGCCCGAAAGTCTAGTCAGAGCGCATCCAACTCGGAGGAGTCGCCCAGGCGCCATCTTCTAAGCACGTGCCCACACACGCACACACGCACACGCGCACGCGACGGCCATCCTCGTGTTTCGCCATCCTCGGAGCGCAGACGACGCACACACACTCCGTACACGATGCTCACGTGTTTCACCATTCTCGGAGCGTAGCCATCCACGCACACACCGCACACAATGCACACGTGTTTCGCCATCCTCGGAGCGCAGACGACGCCCGCCAGGGGCCCAGGATGAGGAACATGCGCTGGGGCGAAGCACCTGCCCCGCCCCCTCCGACAGCTCCCGAAAACCGCTGCGAGCTTCCCCAAAAACCTTGGGGGCAATCGAACACCGACAGAAATCGAACATAAACATCCGGTAACCTCGGGGGCCCTTCTAAATGCAAGACGATATCGGCCAACGTCGCATGTATTGGAGCATCTGCAAACCCATGAGAACCTCCGTCTCCTCGTGCCAACACCTCGCCGGAACTCCATAGAACTTCGAATGGAACCTTGCTGTTGCGTACCACCCCCTATTCTCCCTCTCCTTATCCTCACCATCTCTCCCCGTCGTCAGCCTTGTCTTTTCCCACTCCCTTGTCCTTCCCAGGGTGATCCTCCTCCTCCACCTCCTCCTCCTCCTCCGCCCACTTCAGTGACACCCCCATCCTCCTCCTCCCTGAGCAGGAGGGACAGAAACAAATAGGACGGGGAAGGAGAGGAGGAGGATGCCTCTCCTTCCCTCCTCCTCCGCCTCCTCCTCCTCCTCCTCTTCCTCCTCCTCCTCCTCCTCCTCCTCCTCCTCCTCCTCTTCCTCCTCCTGGAGCAGGAGGGGCAGCACGCATCCGCGGGTTCTGCCTCCATGACTTGCATGCATGCCACATGCATGCCGGTGGTTCTTGGGAGGCTCGGGCTGCCTTGGCAGGAGCACGGCGGTTTCCCTATGTGTGTGATATTTTTTCAGCGGTGGCCAGATGGGGGGGGAGGAGGAGGCGGAGGAGGAAGAGGAGGAGGAGGAGGAGGAGGAGGAGGAGGAGGGGGAGGAGGAGGAGGAGGAGGAGGAGGAGGAGGTCTACAAAGGGCCAGAGGAGGCGGTGGGCCCCAGCAGGGAGTAGCAGGTAGAGGAGGAGGAGGAGGTGGAGGAGGGGGGGAGGAGGAGGAGGAGGACGGGGAGGAGGTGGAGCTTTTTTTTGTCTCAAGATACGTTCCAGAATTTCCATACTATCTAGCGGCCCTCATTTCCCCCGCCCGTGAGGAACGCTCAAGACATAGGAAATATTGGACGCCTTTGGAATCTGGGAAATACTTTAAACATTGCCGTGGCTTCTTGCTACCCTGACGGGTCGCAGAGCGCATAAGCGAGCCGAAAATCTGGGAACAAAAACCATCGGTCTCGATCGTGGCATGATCCGAGGAGGTCTGGGACCACAGGGGGCGCAACCCCTTCGGCAGACCCCTGGTCGGCTGCAGTGCCGGACCCCCGGGCTGTGCAGGACGCCACCTGCGTGCGGGGCCCCCCGAGGGGTCCGCACCCGGGGCCCCCGGCTGTATCCGAGCGGGGGCGTGGGGGCCTCGCCACGGAGCCCCAGATCACGAGCGGCGGCCATATCCGTATCCGCGCCCTCGCGGTCTGGATTCCTGGGCGCGATCCCGCGGACGCGCGGTCGCACGGGCAGTTGAGCTCGCGCGGGTCATCCTCGACAGAACGGCCCGTATCCGCGGGGTCGCGGCCCAAATTTGGACGCCCCAGATGGGTACGGAAAACATGGGCACGATGCCCAACACCGAATGCTGTCCAAAACCTACGGCGGCCGCTGTTGGGCAGGCGGCCTTCTGTCTCAGGAGGACATCGCCCACGGCGACATCGACAGCCAGTGCCGTTCCAAACGAACAGGCGCTGCTGTCGGTCGTTGTACCTATTCTTTCCGTGCCCATCCCATCTCGGTCGTCCCGAGTAATTCTAGGCCCAGCCCGCAAGGCCGCGGAAACGGCTGCGTCTTTCGCGCATGACCAGGTCTGCCCGACACCAGCGCGCTTCCCCGAAGACGCCAACGGCAGCATCTTGAGTGGACCTGGATGGGCTGCGGCGCTGGCCCCCGCGGCTCTGCCGGCCAGCACGGTGGGGCCCGGGGAGGACTGTACCTCGGCGTGGCCGGTCCTTCGCTGCCCCGATGCGCAACACGCAGCCCGCAGCGTGTGAACACGGGGCTCCACACGTGCAGGCCGAGAACGCAGGTCTCGTTCGCCCAGACGTGGGCCAACGCGCGCCGAGCCAACACGCAGCGTGTTAGGCACGGACATGGGCGTATAGGAGGAGGAGGAGGAGGAGGAGGAGGAGGAGGGAGGGAGGAGGGAGGAGGAGGAGGGCGGAAGAAGAGGGGGAGGGGGAGGAGGAGGAGGGGAGGAGGAGGAGGAGGAGGAGGAGGAGGAGGAGGAGGAGGAGGAGGATCAGGGACTGGATCACCCACTGGCCGCCCGCGGGCGGGTATCCCGTGCCTTCTCGCCGAAGTTGCGGAGCATCGGTCCGGCCTCACGCGTGGGCGCCGCAGCGGCTGGTCGGGTCGGCCTGCGCGTATGCGCCTCCTCGTCTGCGAGGAGGCCCGCCGGGACCGCCTTCGGAGGGCACGAGCGCTAGGACACCTTACGAGGACAGTCCTGGAGGCCTCGCGCGGCACCCTGGGACCCAGTTTGCGTCGGATGCACGTCGGATCTGCGTCGGGCTTGCGTCGGAACATCGCCGCGGGAACGTCGTCCCATATCTGATGGGACGGACGTGTGGACTAGATAATGTTAGGTCTGACATGTCCCCCGAATGGTGTATTTTTTGACGGAGAATAACAACAATAAACAGATATCATAAAAATGGTCCACAATCATTCAAAAATCGTCCCCAGACTACTTTTTGCATATTTTTGAAGATCCTCCCTGTAGAGGGACACGCCCGACTTAAAGAAATGCAGCTGTGGCGCGCCGCGAGTCCTGCAGGATCTACCTCATTTGAAACCACGATGTGACACACGCTTGTAGACTGCGGGCGTTGTGCTTCTTACGCGAAGTGTGGGTGCTTGAACCTGGTCAAGACTCCTTGCAACAGATCCCGAGCTTGGACGGCCACGGGTAGAGTATCGCATTAATGGGAAGGCCGGCGCACAACAACGCGGCTCCCGTGTGGTTTCAATCTCAGAGCGAGCAAGCAGGCTGCCGAAGTGTCGTCCATCCACGGGGGTCATACGCAGCATAATCCTGCATCATCATCCTCTCCCGCATCGTGCCCGCGGTGGTAGCCGATGCAGTCGGCGACGCTCCACGCGCGCGACACCGCCCCTTGCGCGGCGCCCTCAATGCTTCTCTCGGGCCTGCCCCGTCGGAGGCAGGCCACTGCAGACTTCAGGCTTCAAGCTCATCCTCCTCCTCCTCCGGCTCATCCTCCTCTTCCTCCTCCTCCTCCTCCTCCTCCTCCTCCTCCTCCTCCTCCTCCTCCTCCTCCTCCTCCTCCCCTTCGCCCTCATTCTATCCCGCTCCTCCCTGTCCTTGTGGCCCCTGCCGGCTGTCCTCCTCCTCCTCCTCCTCCTCCTCCTCCTCCTCCTCCTCCTCCTCCTCCTCCTCCTCTTCCTCCTCCTCCTCCTTTCTTCTCCTGATCCTCCTCTCCCTCGCCCACCCTCCTCCCTCCTCCTCCCTCCTCCTGGTCCTCCTCCCTCCTCCTCCCTCCTCCTGGTCCCCCTCGTCCTTGCTCTCGTCATCCTCATCCCCTTCCTCTTGCTCCTCATTCCTCTTCCCCTCGGGATCCTCGGGCTCCCTGTCCAGGTCGATCGTGAACCGCTGCGTCGACCGCGGCGGCGGCGCACTGCGGGGCGGGGGCGGGGGGGGCAGCGCAAGGAAGGCGCTGGCCCGCAGAGAACATTTTCCAAATCCTCCTCTTCCTCGACCCACCATCCTCCATATCCCTCATCCCTCTCCCTCCTCAGCCCAGCATCTTCCACCGTCCGCCCTCCTCCTCATCCCCCTCCTCGCTCCTCTCCTCCTCCCCCTCCCCCCCTCGCTCCTCCATCCCCCCCACGTTATTCCCCCTCCTCGTCCCTACCTCCGTCTGTCCTTCTTGCTCCTTCTCCTCCTCCTCCTCCTCCTCCTCCTCTTCCTCCTCCTCCTGATCCTGCCTTCTCCATCCCTCCTCCCACCTTCTCCTCCTCTGCCACCTCCTCTCCTGCATCCTCCCTCCCTTCTTCAGTCTCCTCCAGCTCCACTCCTCCTCCTCCTTCTCCTCCTCCTCCCGCCCCCTCCTCGCGCGGGGAAGGGGAGTGTAGGATGGACGCCTCGCGCGCCGCCCACAAGGCTTGGAGAGGCTTCTCCTCTGAGCCTAGAACAGCTGGGATCGGCGCGGGGGCTTGCCAAGGGGATAGGGAGGTCATCAATGAATGCCAAGGTGGGTCAGACCTGGCCTAATCTGGCTCACGAGTGGGTTACACATGCCCTAAATGGCTTAAAGGGGGTCTGACGATCTGGGCAAAGTGGGCTTCGCCCACACAGGAGATTTATCTAACCCCCCTGAGGCACTTGGGGCATGTTTCACCCACTCATTAGCCAGGTCAGGCCAGATATGACCCACCGTGGCATCTACTGATACAACCCCTATCCCCTTGGCCACCCCCGCGGCGATCCCAGAGGGAGGGCGCCTCTTCGAGGCCTGTGGTGGGCTTCCTTCTGCCAGCACGCTGAGGCGTTATCGCCAGAGTGGACGTGACCCTTGGTAGCTAGGGCTTTGAAGTGGCCCTCCTCAACGAAGACGACATGTCCGACATGTACGTGCTGGCGACGAGGGCATCCCGGGATGACAGGCAAGGCAAACACCAGGGCAGGGCAACGGTATCGGTATATTTCCTCCCCTGAGCCTCAGCGTCTCCACCCTTCCTGCCGACCCTTTTTTGAGGCTTCAGGGCCAGAAATGGTGAGGAAGTCTTAGGCGAAACGCCGGGCCGCCCTAAAAACTGGCCCCGGGGTGCGACAGGGAGAGGTTATTTAGAAGGGAAAGGAATAGAGCGAGGAGGAGGAGGAGGAGGAGGACAAGAAGGAGGAGGAGGAGGAGGAGGAGGAGGAGGAGGAGAAGGATGAGCCCCGACCTCTTCGGCGGCGGCCTCATTCGAGACGGCGGGCACGAGGCGCCTCGCCCGAGGTGCGCCCTTCGCCACAGCGCTGCGGCAGCGGCGGCGGCGGCGGCATCGAGCGGCGAGTTCGACCATGGGAGGGGATCCATCGAGGCAGCCTCGGCACTCTGAGGTACACCCCGGCGATGCGGCCAGGGCAAGACCGAGGTCAGACGGAGGTGGGTGAGACTTGCGCAGGTCCTGGGCCATCAACGGCTGTCGCGCTGGAGGCGAAGCCGAGTCCGAGCATCCGTTGCGGCGCGGCCATGCGACGCCATCTCGACAGGAAATCCAATGAAAAGGGGGCGGCCGACGTGTGCAAGCCACTTGTACAGGCGGACGGAGCGATCACTGGGACCCACGAGAGGTCCGAGAAGAAAATCGAACCTCCGACGGCGAAAGAAATGTACGATAAACGGGCGAGCAGTGGGCGCACGAACTACAAGGCGGACGCAGGTGGCGGAAGGAGGGGTTGGGCGGCGCTGGGCGGCTCAAAACAAACAACAACACGACCAAAGAAATTGAGCAGCGCCGTTGTGCCAAACACGGAAACCCAGGTCAGATCCCAAGCAAAAAGAAGAGCGGCGCAGATGGATGGCCGATATGCGCTCAGCGCGCGCAACGCTGGCGAGAGAGCGATGCCAAGATGCTAGAGATCGAATTCCGCCTGAGAATTCCCCACTTGCAAAAAATACCACACCACACAGCGTCGCGATCACGGCAAAGCAAGGCCATGTGCATGCAACCAGACCGCCGATGTCCTGATTTGATCATTCGGCGCGGCACGGACCATGGAACTCTCTCCCTGGGACCAGAAAGACTGAACCTCGGAACCTGGGGGATAGCGGGAACTACTGCCGTCGGTTTGTTCAGTGCCTTGCAGCTCTGGGTCCGTTTGCGGCCAGCAGCCCACGCAGAAGGCGTCGAGCGACCCGACGAAACCCGCGATGGGATGAAACATATTCACATGTTGCAGGCGAGAGACAGGGGCGCGCTCGTGGCGCAGTCACCCCTGGAAGTGCAGCGGCATCTGTGGCCACTGCCGAGCAGCAGCGACTAACCTGCCGTCAAAGGGCAAGAGCTCAGAATCGAATCAGTGAGTCGGATCGGCGATCGAAATTAATCGGATCGGAGGACAGCGGCAACCGAGTCGGGAGAAGTCGACTCGGCAGGAATCGGCAAGCTAGCAGGCCTTCAACAAGAAGTCGGAACCCACATCGGAATCCCGAGTCGAGTCGGATCGGAATCGGAAGACCTCGAAGTCGCATCGAGGCGGATCGGAGGCATCGAAAGGAGCCCTCGAGGGGTGGGCACGGGCGCCGAAGGCCAACCATCCTGCGCGTGGCACGGAGAACGGAGGTGGACGCTCACGGGGAAGGGGTCGACGGCTCCAGGGGCCTGCATCCTGAAGAGGGCTCCCGGGCATCCCGCAGCGGGTCGTCGTGCTCGAGGACCCCTTCCCGCATCGGACTCCGGAATGGTTCCCTCCTCCTCCCTCCTCCCTCCTCCCTCCTCCCTCCTCCTCCTCCTCCTCCTCCTCCTCCTCCTCACTCCTCCTCCCTCATCTTCCTCCTCCTCCTCCTCCTCCCTCCTCCTCCTCCTCCTCCTCCTCCTCCTCGTCCCTCCTCTTCCCTCCTTCTCCTCTTCCTCCTCCTCCTCCTCCTCCTCCACCTCCTCCTGCTCCTCCACCTCCTGGACGCAGCCATGGGCAGCCTCCTCCTCCGCAGAGCAGCGCCAAGCAGAGAGGAGCAGAATGATAGAATCTCGCGTGGCTCGGCTTTTAGAGAGAGATGGTCTCTGCAGTCGCCCCCAGCGTCGCAGGTGAACTGCCCAAGCGTAAAGGCATCGGGTACGAACCCCTGGCTGCAATCCAGATGGGCACGGCTACCGAAATCTCCTCATCGGTGTGCGGCCACGTCAATCTGCACCGAGAGCCCAGACCCCAGACGGCCCGATGTCTTCGAGCCCGCAATCCCTGGAACTCCCGACCCAACAGCCAGGATCGGTTTCTCCTCATCAAGAGCTATTTTTTTTCACTGCGACAGGGCCAGGACTCGACCTCGACAAGACGCAGAACGAATCACACAAAAAACACTAGCACAATTTCCACCGAGTCGCCAGGGTATGGGAACGCAGTGTGTAATGGCCCGATATTCCGTCCCATTGCCCCCGCTCACAACCGAACGTTGGCGTCAACCACTCCGCGGCGTGCACTTAAGATGAGCTGGTGGGCGGCCACGCTAGTGCTGCCGCACTCCTGGTCGGACCGTAACCTCCTTCTCGCCAACAGTGACTACCAGATGATTGGCACTGCACGGGTTCTCGACTTTGACGACGAATGTGGTCTTGACGCCGAGAAAGAATCCTGTCGGATGGAGCTGGCTGAAGGTATCGTCATCCAATCTCCTGTATATTCGTCTCGCAGCAGCATCTATGTTGGAGAAGTCGTAAGTAAGAGCGTACAATCCAATTTGCAGACTACCAACTTCCACTAACGTGTCATTCCCTCCGTTCTCGGACAGCGTCGACGATCCCACCAACTCCCAACCACCAACGTCAAATACCGACGCAGTCGAGCTTGCGTTGTAACGGACCTCAACAGTGGCGCCGGCGACCGACGGCTGCCCCAATTTGGAAATCACATGCGTGCTGATTTCCCCCATGATGGCAACGTATCATCCCTAGGCCTCCGACGTCATACCTTCCCCCCCCCAGCGGCCCTCGACCTCTCGAGGCCGCTCCACGGTCTACCTTTCATGCTGGATGACTTGGCCTCCACATGCCAAAACCCATGAACAGCCGAAGGGTTGAACCAACCAAGACGTCGGAGGTCTAGGCCGTGCGCTCTCGCTTGATTCAGATGGGCCACGGAGGAGCAAAGAGAAATCATAATGAGATCGGACTGCACGGGGCGCCCGTGCGTCCTCGCCACCCGTGCGCCTTCGGGCTCGGCATGCGGATTCCTGCTCCCTCTCGCCTTTGACCACTCCTGGGGGAACCACCAGGCACCGATGCCGATACCTTTCCGGACCTCTCCCCGGATGCTTTTCTGATCAGAATTCCGAGGTGAATCCAGTGGTGGCGACGAGGGCCTCCGAGGAGGCCCCAAAAGGGGGAAAACGGGCGAGGGGGTGGAGGTATGGGTACCTTCTCCTCCTCCGAAGTCTCTTCTGGCGCTGAACCTCGTCGGGGTTCGTGCCACTGGCGCTGAGCCCCTCGGGGCTCGTGCCAAGGGAAGCTTCTGGCGCAGAGCGCTTCGCTCGTGCTCCAGTCTCCTTCGCCGCTGAAGCGTCAGTAAAGTTCCCATAAGGCTCACACAGACATCGACGTGGTATTACTGATTATTGGAAGCTCTACCACAACATCAAAGAAATTTCAGACAACCCAAGTCAAGCCCAAAGAAAGTCAAACTCACACAGGCAAACCAAAGCCCATGACAAACACAAGCTTCCAAACTCTCATGCATAGGTCAATGATGCCCAACCAGTCCTGTCGACTAAAATAGTCTAGCGAGCTCTTTTTCTCTGCCAAAAGCCCCTCCCTTCCCTGAGGATCCCTGAAGGGTTCCGCAAAGGGTTCGAGCGCCCGAGATGGCCCACGATGGCTCTAAGAGGGCTACCAGTGCTCCAAAATGGCCTCCAAGGCGGCTCAAAATAGCCGAATCTCGTGCAAGATAGCTTCCGACATACTTACAAGAGGCTCAGCGAGGGCCACAAGACGGTTTCAAGTGCTTGCGGAGCCCCCTCAGGACGCCACCAAGAGACAAAAATAGTTCAAACCTAAGGAGATTCAATGATTGTTGCCTTCTCGCCTTTTCGCTTCCGATATGCTTTTAAGGCCTCAAAATTGGCTCAAAGATGGCCAACATGAGCGCCAAGAGGGGACCAAGAGGCTCCCCAAACTGCTCCCAAAGCGCCTATAATCGGCCCAAGAGCGTTCCAGGAGCGCCCCAAGAGGAGATGGTGATGGCATCAGGCGGGGGATGGGGAGGCAAATCGAGGACCCCTGGCCTTCATGATGGCCCGAAGAGGCCCTCCAGGGCTTCTAAGGGACCCTTAAGGGGGCTCCAAGAAGGACCCCAAACACCCCGAAAGAGCCCCAATAGGACCAACATACTCCACGAAGAGTCCCAAGACTGCTCCAAGAGGCGATTTGACGGCTCGATCCACGTTCTCGTTGTCCTCCTCCTTCCTCCTGCTCCTCATCGTCTTCGTCCTCGTCCATGCCTTCATCGTCTTGCTTTCCTGTTCATCCTCTTCCTGGTCGTCGTGGTCGTCGTCGTGGTCGTCGTCGTCTTCCTCCTCCTCCTCCTCCTCCTCCTCCTCCTCCTCCTCCTCCTCCTCTTCCTCATCCTTCTTCCATCGCCACCACGCGGGCCCCAGGCATACCTCGAAAAGGCAGTTGAAGGCGACCCACTTGCTCCCAAAGATCTCTCTGTTCACACTGGTTGCCCGCTTGGTTTCACTATGTGAATATCTTCGTCGTTTTCCGCCAACTCTCATGGACAGCGTCTCATAATTGGCTGGTGGGGGTATTTGTTCCGTCGCGGCCGCAAGCGAAAGCGCAGACAGCATCCGAAGTCGGCCCGGGCTACGAACCAAACCTAATTACCTAAGCGCGCCAACTAACGGCCGCCAGAGCTGCCGCCGAGGGACGCCGGGGACTGAAGGCAGAGCTGCAAGAGGTGCCAGGTGTGCCAGGCGACTGAAATTCAACCACCCCAAGGGCGAGACCACCAGGAAGGCAAACGAATTGTACCTTGTCGCGCCCGGCGCCTGAGGTAAACGTGCCACCGATCAAAGCACGGCATAGCGCGCGGTTGAGCAAGCAGTCCAGCGCACCTGTGTCGCATGCCAACAGTGGCAACCTCAAGTGGTTGAACAAAAAGGCTAAACCACTCATGAGCAATCCGCATGGCATCCCACCACTGCAAGGCGGCAGCTGCAAACACGGCCAGGCTGTGGCAGTGTCTGGGGACCAGGAGCCAAGAACATGCAAGCATGCTATCTGGAACCGGTCGACGTGCAAATCACCGGGACGCCAGGGTTACCTCACCCAGCTCAAAGAAGCCAACACGGACACCATCAGACGCCAGGGACAGAGGGCGAAAGCCCGGAAGACGCAACCAGGCAGTGATCGGCGGCAGGGCCGCGGTGACCAGGGGAGCCAGACGGCGTCAAGAGGGGCGGCGCAGCAAGCAGCTGAAGGCTGAGAATACCCCAGGCCAAGTGCCAGCGGCGCGGCGTGCGTGAGTCGAGAAACGCCACGAATAGGGGGGGCCAGCTCACCTGGGATACCAGGCCAGGCTGTGGCCAGGCTGGTGGAGTTTTTTTTTGTGTTTTTGTTTTCACAGCCGCGGGCGGAAGCGCCAGCGGCGGCGAGTAACGGTCGGGCTGCGGCCGAAACTAATCGGCCGAGGGCTGGTGGGGATACTAAATTACAGACGGCTAACGCGCGCGACTAGGCGGCCGCGGCGGCGCCGGATGCAGCAAGCAGCAATTGCGGCGAGGGTGAGGCTGACCCCAGGGAAAGCTGAACCCAGGGCAGAGCTGCAAGGTGACCCAGGGACACCCAGGAAACACCAAATTAGCCAAACCTGACACGCGCTGCCAAAATGGCGCGAATCTGAAGAGGCGCCAGCCGAAGCGTCGCGCGCCGACAGATCAAGTAATGACCGCTCAAAGGTAGGTAAACCTGCGTCCCATGAGCAATCATGTGCACCGTGGTCCATGCATAGCATAGCAAGACCTGTGAATACATAGAAATGCAACCGAGCAGGATGGACCACACCCAATGCCAAAGTTGTACCCAGGGTGCTCGTGCGCAGCCAATGGCGAGTGACACCGGGACAACGAAGGCGGCGCCAGCGGATGCGACGCACGACCAACAGTCATCCGAAGTGTGCCACCTGTGACACCTGTGGACCTGTTGGCAACGCCAGGAGCCAAGTAGGATAGACCACACCCGACCCTGTCGCGACCGTACAGAAACTAAGCTGCATAAGGCTGCCCGCTGGAAGGCCGGGTCACGGCCACACCCAAGAGAAGCCAGAGTGAATTAGGGTGAAACAAGGGCGGGCGCGCACGCGGCTTTAGGTGACGACCTCCCACTGTTTCTGGTCCTTCCTGGGTGCGCGGCGATCAGCGTGGCCCTTCGCCGCCTGGCGCCCCCTGCCCGCGCCGTCACTTCCACCCAGGTACCGAAGCCGCAACTGCGTCCAGTCAACGCCGAGGTCCAGCGCGTCGTCCATGGCCCGCACGTCGCAGTTATGGCTGCGGAAGGAGGACAAGAAATTGACGCACGTTTGCTGGTCGTGCCGCCGCGGGTCGAGCGCGCCTTTGCTGCCAGGCATTGCGTGCTGCTGGGCGAACGCGTGCCAGGCGCCTGTGAACCTCGCTCCCAGGGTGACCTGAAGCCGCTTTATGTCCCACTGGACGCCGCCGATCTTAGCTTTCTATAGCTGCTGTCCCGTGTCTGGGTCTAGTAAAGTTCTGGACAGCGACGCGCGGCGGGGCCCGCTATACCAGGGGCGGGGTGGTCAGCGGCTGGTCCTCGGCGCGGCGCCTGCTGCTGCTTCTGCGGCTGCTGCTGCTGCGTCCGCCGCCTGCCGTCCACCAGACCCGCCAGCGCGGTCGGCGTCGCTACGGGCCAGGTTTCGGCCCAGGGAAGGCGGGGAGACTGGAAGGTCGCCAGTCACAGAGGCAAGGCAGGGCGCCCACCCGCTGCCACGAAGACGCGCTGGGGGAACGTTCCGGCCGCGCTGCCGTTGTTCCTCGGCGCTCGAGCTCGCGCCATTGCCAGGGAGGGAGGGAGGGGCCAGGGCAAGTAGTGTCAGCCAAGGGAGTGTGGCGGTGGGTGGTTGCCTGTTCCTGTTCTCGCCCATGCTCCCATTCCTGTGTTGGCGCCACTTCCGCGCCCTCCCCGTGGGCGGCCGGCAGCTCCTGCTCATCGGGCTCTTCCGGCTCCTGCTCCGCATGCTGCTCACGTTCGCTGCTCTGCGACTGTTCCGACTGGTTGGGCCCGCCGCCGGAATCGTCGATGGCTTCGCGAGGCGCGGCGGCTACTGGGGCACGGAAGCCTGGCGGGGACTTGCGGGTTGGCGCGGGCCGCACGGTTGGCCGCCAGGTAAGGGCCGAGTCGCCTCCATCAGCTGGGGCGGAGAGGAACGCTGCACTGTGGTAAGCGGGGGCAAACCCCTCCCGTTGGCGCTCGCCTTCAGACCCGCGCCCGCCCTCGTCCACCAGCGCGCCCCCGTCTGGCGCAACGTGACTTTCGCCATGTGTGGGAGTGCTGCGGGTCGTACTTGGCCCAGGCACGTTGTCAGACACCGTTTCTTTCGCCAGGACGGGAGTCGCCTTCCTCAGCGTGGCCCGGCCTTCGGGAGGGAGTGGCTGCGGTTCGCTGTCCGTTCGGGCGGATTCGATGACAGGGGAACGAGGGCGAATGGGCGCGAAGGGACTTGTCTCGACAAGCTGGCGGATGGCCTCGATGTCCTGCCTCTGCAAGGCATGTTCGTGGTTCCCCAGCGAGGGGCCTTCGAGAGTACCAGGGACGGCGGCGGGCGGAGTCGCAGCGGGGCGTTGTTGGGTCTCGCCGCCAACCAGATGTATCGACAGCCCCAGGCTTGGAAATAATGGGCTCCGTATCGGCCGTCGGCCACGGG